AAAGATAGGGTAAGAAATAGATGTCAAATGTCAGGAGCAGCAGTCGTAATTAAATTTCTACAACGACTTACAAGTTCTTCGTACATTCTGATTTGTCTTTCGCATATTGATAAATGAACTAAATTTTCCAGGGTGTGAAAATCCATATTGCTAATGTCTTCGGGAGAAAAGGTATTTGTTGTCCTATAATGTAATACAAACTTGATATAATTCACAAACTGCATACCTTAGAGAGTCAAAGTAGCGTCTTAGTGAAGCTAAAGTGTCGTTAAGTCTGCGTAAATTTCCATAATTGACTCTTGACATTTCTTCTGCATCCGTAGCATCCTCATGGTCGACCTAATAAAGAAAAAAATATTACGAAACATAATTGGATATGGTTTTACTTGTGCAGTTATATCTATATTTAAAAAGGGTTTTGTAGTAATTTCAGTAAAATGATGTTCTAGACATGTAATCTTATAGTCGGCTTGGTCTTGCAGAGTACGACTTTGATAGCAGTCGCTAGTTATAGAATTAGTGTTAAATAATCTGAGCAAAGATGATACATATTTCACAGAGTAAAAAAATAATCACCTAGTTGTTTGTTCGCAAAGGTCCATCTTTTCATCCATGTAATCAAATATTTCGTCGATGATTTGAGATTCAACGTATGCTTTACCTGTTTCACTTAGTGAAGCATAAATTAAACGTAGTTGATGAGTGAAAAACATTGGTCAAGTCGATAAACCGTACTAAACTCACCAAAATGTTAATCCCGTAACACTGTAAATATGTGATGGTAAAATAAGATATTAACTGTTACGTTACATACGTAACATAGCCTTATAAGATCGAATTGTGTTTGTCAAGTTACGAAGTACAGTCTTGAGAATAACAGACTCAACGGTAAGTTGCAGATGCTTATCCTCGTAGGTGTTTGTTTCCAGCGGGAGTGGAATGAACAACCTGTTATTAAATTGTTGTTAGGGTATACAAAAACTTCTCACCTATGTAACGTATTATACTTCTTTCTGAAACGTCTCCTTAGTCGTTGTAGATAAACAATATGTTCCCGTATTTTATCTTGTAGTACATTGCTACATGGTGATGAAGGTAACGGTATCTAACAAAACGTTATTGTAATTGGTGCAATCATTTGTACATAGGGATCAAGTTTGACAGCTGAGTAGGGCTTATTGGTGAGGTCATGAAAAAGAAATTGCAGTTCTTGTAAAAGTGTATTGTTGTACTTGAAACGATAGTTGTTCGTCGTCCAATCTACGGTCGAATGTGTAGAATGACACTGACCAACGTTAAAAAACCTGAAAAAATAACATGGTTCGTAAAACACAATTAAAGACGTACATAACGTAGTCTTTTAAATAAAAATACATCTGCTTTTGTATCTCCTGGATGGCTTCGACAAACAATTCACAGATAAAATTTTGATCTTCAGAGCGAACAACTCTGTACAACTGAGATAAGTAGCGGAAGCTAGCCATGGAAAAAACTAATAATACATTAGAAATATGAAATATAACACAAAATTTAGATCTACAATTAGTCTAACGATTGTAAAGATCGGGCCAAGAATTCTGGTAAAACTAGTAAATGTAACTTATGAGTGGATAGTAAATGATTTTGTAAATCTACATAGTTCATTGGTTTAGAACAAAAAAAGCAGTCGTATAAATACGTAGGACATGGATAAGATAAATCTTGCGTATTAGACATTGGTGTCGACTTCAAAGTAGCAGCTGTGTTAATCGTCAAAATCTTGGCCACTTTACGTCGAGCAGGAGTACTTGGCTTGGAAAATGTAACCTTCTTCGGCAGAGAGTGATGTATTTGTTGACACTTTTGAAGTAAATGTAGACAATCTCGAACGTTCAGTTTATGTTGAGTACCCAAGTGGCATTTCAGCTGTCGACTAAATAATACATGAAGTTAAAAACAGCATTAAAACTTACCGAGTTCCTATATATTTGCACTTGAAACATTTAAACACATCCAACTTCGTTGTCGACTGCGATAAAGATGTGTGTAAAGCACGAAGTTCCTGATCAGACATGAACAGTAGTGCGATTGGAAAAACCTGAGATCTTGTTGGCACCTACAAAGTTAGAAAAACAAAAACTCAAATTAAATATAATAAAGCGACGAAGGAAAAACCAATATAGTGATTAATAGTGATTCAGCAAAAATGTATAGCACGAAGCTAATAGATCACCTTTGGTAAAAAAACCTGAAACATTGAAAATATGATATTTTACATTGCACATTGTTACCTTCATTTTTATGCCGCCTAGAATCAATAAGAAGTAATAGTAACTACTTGTATCTTAGGCAGACGATGCCATTTCAACGATACAGTTAATAAAGTGTATTCGACATCACGAAACAAACAATACAGCGATACGAAAACAATCAATATTGCTAGTTTCTGTCGAAAAAAATGTATGTTTGCAATGGAAAAAACAAACATCAAAGGCAGAGTTTACCATTCGACGATGAATGTTTTTGGTTGCGAAAAAAAAATGTTATACAATAGTGATTAGTAGAGTAATGTGCAACAATTAGTCGTCGGATAGAAAACGTTTTTTGTTTTTACGTTTTCTTGATTTAGACTTATCTTTGGTGGAATGTTTGACAATACATTCATCAACTTCACCATCGTCGTCCCCATTTTGTAGATCTTCTTGAAGTTCATCGACTTCATTCGAAGAGTCAATGTTGTTATCTTGAATGCAGCTTGAGGACGTGTTGTCACCCGTCGTCAATAAGTCCTGTGATCTCTTTATGGAAGGAAGAGAACCAGTAGAGTCAGAGGAAATAACAAGTTCATCGGTAGCAGCGAAAGGGTTAGTAACAGCGTTGCTACTTGTAGCAAATGAGAACGATCTTGATTGTAGTCTTTTAGTGAGTTGTTCAATCGATTTTTTTTGGAAAAACAGTTGAAGATTATTAATATTACACGAAGAAGCTCGTAATTCTTTGACATCAACATCGTCTTGATGATATATCTTTTCCGAATATGAAATAGGATTTTTAAGGATAGCTATAAAGCGTAAAACTTCGAAAGAAAAATTGTACAAATACAATGATTGCTCTACTAAGAATTCTAGTTTCTGAATAATATCAGTCTTACACAATTCTTTCTCCACAGCTGAAAAAAAGGCTTCTGATGATGAGACAATACGCTCTTTAGAATCGTTCAAAGATTGATCATAAGACATTGTACTATTAACTGGTTGAACGAGATTGCCGATTTGAGCATCGACACCGATTTTATTGAGCTTTTCAAGTAAAGGTAAAATTGTAGGATGAACGATATTTTTCATACTTTGAAACCTTGATGTAATATAGCTACGATACGTATGAGCAAAAAATGAAAAACCGTAGCCAGGACGGAAGCAAAATTCACAATTTGCCGGAAGCATACTAGCCGATATGTGATTAACCGTAGGACTATTAGGTAGTTGTAGCCCATAAGGACAAGCATAAGCATGAGTACGTTGCTCATAATGTTTACCCACGTTCTTCATAGTAGCCGCATTCATCCATCTAGAATTTTTAGACTCCATGATATAGAGTTTGGGGAAAAAACTATAAGCTAAGTAATCACTACTCTTTACCAACTAATACGGACCAACGTAATAGCACTACGAAGTTCTAGAGGACAACTACGAAACGATGTACTTGATTTAACACATGTAGAATATCTAAGGCATATGTTGCCAACGTTGGATATACTACAATCAGTCGTTAACAAAATCATGAACAACAAACCATCTAGACAGACTTTGCCAGTGAATGATAGTTTGTCGTTTGTAAAACTTAATACAAGATCCTAACCCAACATATAATATTGTTTTAAAAGTGTCAGTAATATTATTTTAGTACGTTCTAAAAAAGTATACGTAAAAATAGATATAGCATGTACAACTTACTTTATCCAAACTCCGTAGTATTTGTTGATATTCCGCAAGAAGTTCACGTAACGTAGTGACAATCGTATAATGCAACGATTTCAACGTTGTTTCTTTGGACATAGATGTCGTTTTCAATGACTCACGTGAAACACTGAACGACGACTTTGCTATTAGTATCAAACGTATATGTCCCGCTTACTTTTCACTTTCATCCAATAGATCTTCTTCGTTCGCTTTCCAAGCACGTAGTATTTTACTTCTTGTCCGTAAAGTTGATCCTACCGTAGATTGAATAAGTTTATCATATTTTGGCATCTGAAAAACTAGACAATTACAGAATAAATAAGACGCTACCTACCTCGTATGAGTTGTCCACTATGTGGTACCGGGTCTGAGTTATTTCCTCATACGTTTTCTGTAATGCTAAGTAGATACTTTTGAATTCATATAAAGTACAATGAAGTTCTACGTATCGAGAAATTCGACTTGAGTCTTCAAATAAAAATCCTGCGTTGCAATTCATGAATCTAAAAGTTTGTTAGGGCAAATCACAATGCATAAAACTCACCTGGTATATTCATGAGCAGAGTCGTTGAACTTTTGAGTGAAACTAATTATCATATTTTCCATAAGTTCACGAATGATTTGTTTTTCGTTAACCGTAGAGTGAAAAAACAATTGCTTGCAACTTAGGTGGTATTTCAACATGATGGAAAATTGGAAATACAAAAATTTATCTGACGAAGCCCAGAATATGCGCAACATTGTAATAGTGCAAGTTTGATATCTTTAAGCCAAACTACGCATAAAAAATTCTTGAAGTAAATAAGTAGGAAGTTGATGATAGAAGGTCAGATGTGTCTTCAAATTATTGATCGAAAAGTAATTCTTACAAAGACAGCAAGTTGTATCACGAGCTGATGAACAAGTAGTAGAAGACGAATCAGCATTTAAGTAACTGTCTTCAATTTCTGCCACGTCATAGATAGGGTTGTCGTTAACAAATTTGCAAGTATCGATAATATAGTTTTCAACCGTAGTGGGTAACATTTTGTGGACATCTATTAAATGATACCGGAGATATTTCCTACAAAACAACATCGCAGAAAACTGTACATGTATAAACTTACATGGATAGAAATTTACCACATATGTTGCATTTTCCCTTTTTCGTCAACGAAAAAACATCTATAATATACACAATTTCAGTTCATTAGTATAACGAGACTTACCTTGTGGATTAGGTGATAAGGGATGATCCTCGGCATATATAACAACATTCAATTCCTTGACTAACTTATTAGCTGCATGTTGTCCTATACGATGCTTCTCAACCAAATGTCGCAATAAGAATTTCCTGAAGTAAAGATGACAAATTTATGTATACAAAACTTGATTACCTTGTAAAAACTAAGTTACATTTTGGGCATTCTACTCTATCGTGAGAGGCTCTACTCATGTTGTAATGACGTTTACCACTGGCTGGAGTCTTGATATCGCTCATTGATACTTATAGCGTAATATGATATCTATGCTGAGGAAAGGCATATGACGAGCTATGACTCAGTACCTACATATGAATGAATATGGCATAAAACGAATAAATGACGGTCTGAATTCCTAACCTACAAAGAAAGAGGCCTTCAAATGTGGTTTCCTACACGTCACGTCTTTGCCACCGACGTCACCAAAAACGTGACACCACGCACAAAATAGCACAAAGATAATAGATATTCAATAAGTATCTAACTAGTCTAATAATAATAGAATACAATGAGTAGTTTCTTGTTATGGGTCCGACATTGCATATACTATTGAAGTAAACATTTTGAAAGAAAAAAATTCTCGAGACGGCTAACGAAAAAGAGACAGCAAGTTTATGTGGCGCCATGTAGATGGAGCGTCTCTTTCTGTATTTTTATCGTTGACGAACTTAAGTACGCTATGGAAAGAAACTAAACATCTAACTAATTTATAAATAATAATCATCTATACACGACGATTTTGGCATGTCTCAGTTTGGAAAATATTCAAACATCTAACAAGTTTGTAAACGTAGAGACGTGTAACTCACTTTGGCGCGTCTCGTCCTTCTGTTGAGCAGTTGAATTTTGAACGACATCGACGTCTAATAAGTTGAGACACAGTTGTACTCTTATGTAAACGAACATAGACAAGAAATATAGATAGAAGAAAAAGCAGGAACAAAACATTTTCCGGCGGCGCTAATTTTGAATACATACTCGGTAGGTTTAAAGACGGAAACAGTAGCGGACAATAGACAACAAAGTTGTTCGTTTGGCGTACGTGCCAGTACATGAGTAATCTTTCGTAGTAGTTAGATAATGAACCTAGAATGAAGTAAAGAATCTAGAAACAAATGAGAGATAAGCTTTGCGCAGACGCAAAAACAAAAATATACTCCATTTCGTATTATAATTGACACTGCGTATACGAAGTGAAATTATAACGTAGATCATATATACGAGTATAGATAATGTACTATATCACGAATTAAATTATAATCTGCATTTACAGCACTGGAATATTTTACCATAGTCGCAATCTCAAAGTTAACTATTCGCAAGCCATTCACCAAGAAAAAAGTTTAACATAGTAGCACAACTAAGGTGTTCGGTACTCCTGCGAAACCCAGTAACTCATCCAACAGATGTAGAATATATCAGGCATATGCTGCCAACGCATGATATACTACAATGACCCGTTAAAGAAATTATGAACAAGAAACCATCTTAGGCAGACTTTGCCAGTTATTGATAGTTTGTTGTTCACTTCATTGTTGACCGGACAAACCTTTAGGTAAAACAACCGAGAATGTGGGAGAAATTGTGGAATAAGACACGAATAAGCAGGAGCACAACATTTTCCGGGTGCGCAAATTTCGAATACTTATTCGACAAGTTCAACAAAAAAGACAGTAGTGAATGGTAGCTCTACGAAGAAGGAATGTGTCATAATGAGGTCGTCATTGGATGAGAATCTGACGTTAAAGAACACAGAACGTTAGGAAGTTAGGTATGATAATGAATCTAGAATGAAATAATGAATCCAGAAACTAATAAGAGATCAACTTTGCGCCGACGCAAAAACAGAATTATACTCCATTTCGTAATATACTTGACACTTTGTATACAAAGTGAAATTATATTCTAGATCATATAAAGGAATATAGATAATGCACTATATTACGAAATAGATTATGATTCAAATTTACAACACTGCAACATTTTTCCATAGTCGCAATAACAAAGTCAACTATTCGCAAACCTTTAACCAAGTTATAAGAACTAACGTAGTAGCACGACTGAGATGTTCAGTACTACTGCGAAACCAAGTAACTTATCCAACAGATGTAGAATATCTCAGGCATATGCTGCCAACGTATGATATACTACAATTAGTCGTCAAAGAAATTATGAACAAGAAACCATCTTAGGCAGACTTTGCCAATCTTTGATAGTCTATTGTTCACTTTATTGTTGACCAGACAAACCTTTAGGTAAAACAACGTGAGAATGTGGGAAAAATTGTTGACATAAATCTAAACAGCTTTTAGATTTAGCATAGTCTTCGATACTTCTGCCAACAGTCTCTCTAGTCTTAGTTTGCCGATATTGTCGATACGAGCGTGCTTCTCGTGTAGTCTCTTTTCGGCATGCAATATATTGAATATATTGTCTAAGATGAGAGATAGCTTGTGTACCATAAGCTATATAATTATCAGGATGACCACAAGTTTCCCAATCTATGTCGCCCCATAAAGAACCAATTTTTTGGTCATCATATTTAGTATAAGAGTACCGGTACCAGTCTTTTGGCATACGATCGTTCTGCAACTGACGAAGGTATAACAAGGAGGCCTCAGGTTGTATAGGAATACCATATTTCGTAGCAGTGAGAGTAGCAGCTTCATCAATAGGAATCATCCTTGGGAAAGTGTATCCAGCATTAAACCTCGTCGTACTCTCGATAAGAATAGTTGCCTGCGTCAGCAGAGAAAGAAGATCAGGCGCCTTGTACAATACGCACAACATAGGTAAAATCTCGAAAAAGTCACCTAAGACTTCGCATTTGATCGAACTAGACGTATGTTTAATCTTATCCAAAATATGGCACATAGCAGGAGATAACGACATAGATTTAGGTAATAAGCCAGCCAGCCAAGTATAAGTATCATTATGGACATTTAAAGCAGCACCAGATTTACACATACATAAAATGTTACATACTTCGGACTGCAATGTGTCACTTATTAGACCGCTCCAATAATCACCCAAGGAGTGGGGCACACTTTTACTAGCTTTACCTTTGCCTAACCTCCTACCCAAGTTCAAACCGAAATCTGCAGCACCGTGGTTTAGATCATCTGCATATAAAAAGGTTTGTATCAGAAACCTATCACATGGTACATTACGTCGCAAGAAATTGTATAACTTATCATCAAGTTTAGACAAGTCAACGTAGTTATTAAAAGTCCAGTCCAACAAGGTGTAACGATCAATTAAAGGATATTGTTGCGACATAGACATAAATGATCTTTGTAGCAATGTCACGTCACATGTAAACGAAGTAAGATCAAATGAGTCATGTGGTGTAAACAAATACTTGTTAGCTGGTGGAACAACTTTTGTATCATAAAAAGCAGCTCGACCAAGACACAAATGAGTATTCAACCATATTAGTCTATTCAACTTTTCGTTACTATTAAAAGATAAGTTTTCTAAGTATACATCATTATCTTGAGGAAAACCACTTAAGTCGTCTTTCGGTCGCATATCATTGTAAAAATCACGAGTAGCAAAAACGACATTATGATCGTCAAAGTTAAGAAAGACCGATGGAATAGTCGTAGGAGTAGTCTCCAAGAAATCCCAAAACTTTGACATATGAGCTATATCGTGATTAAACTTATCACCAGCAGGAAGACACAGTGAATTATTTATCCAAAAATCTTTGTCCACAACTGCTCGAACAAATGGCTGTTTATACCTTCTGTCCTCCTTAACAATATCAGCATGATTAAGTTTATACATCATACTGTTTTCGACATATTTACGAAACTCTTTGGCTATGACACAATAAGCTACACCAGGCTTCAAACCCATTTCCTGAGGCCAACGTAAATCTCGAGCAAGAGGAATTTTATCTTGGTCGAGAGTATAATAACTTGAAATATACCAACTCCAAAACTTCTTGTTGTTTGAAGTCCAATCGTACACACTTGTTTTAGTGATAGTAGTCAACTCCGTAGCAGTCGGAACATGATCAAGGCGGAAAAAAGACATAATGAGTCACTATTTCTACGTAGAAAATGTAAAGTACGACACATATGTACGACACCTAACTTAATTCGAACAACACTGGTAGGAAATGTAGCCTCTTCTACGCGGTCAGAACGATCACAACAAGTCTAGTCATAAAATTAAGTTGCATCGGATTATAACGAAAATATGTTACATGGAAGGAGTAGACAAGTCTAAGGCTTATAAAGCCATTCCACGACAAGCAAACGTACCTTGTATGATATTAGTGTATGGACGTATCTAAGAAACGTTGTCGTAAAAACTTTATGCATGTAAAAAAAAGTTGTTTACATAATATGTATACCAGAGAGCAAAGAAAGATTAAAAAAACATTACGGTAAGTTCCCACAAGTACAAAATGTAACAAGCTTGACAAGACTATAACAAAGTATCTCAAAATATAAACAAGGTATTTTTTTAAATTACGGATGTATATTCGATACCATAACTACGGACTAAGTACTACTTTAGTAGTAGTTAACACGTGTAGTACGTATAAACAAGAGTACACATGATGGAAGTCAGTATACGTCGCAGGCATATGCTGCCAATCTACGACATACTAATATAAGATTAGTATATACATAGAAATTAAACTGCACAAGTACATAGCAAACATATGTCTTAG